GGGAATACCTAAGACTTTAAAATCTCATGGGACTGAAATGGCAGGATCTGCTTCAAGCTTAGGGAGGTGGACTTGAGCTTCAGTGTGGCGATGAAGCAAGAGGAGAATTAGATGGGGCGTGCCTACCATCAAGGTTGATGGGGTGGGATGGACAAGAGAGAACACTGGGCCACAGGATGGAGATAGTGGGAATGGTAGACAGAGTTGTGAGGGGCTCAGGCGACACAGAAAATGTAAGCTGGCATCGAAGAATATTCATACTTCTGCTTTGGGGAACCAGGGGTTTCAGTGTGCTGTGTCCTGGTATAATAGGGTGTTCTTTCGTATGAATATTACGGAGTGCAGAGCTCAGTTTTGGAAACCTGGAGTTTGAGCTCCCTGAGAGACAGTCCACTGGCCCAGAGAGACCTGGCTTGGGGATGACTGTCAGGTAACCACAGAGTGGAAGACGCAGCAGAGTGAGGCTAGAACAAAAGTCCTCTGAGGAACAGCATCAGCCAAGCATGGAAGAGAGGGGAGGAGCTCCCAGAGGAGGGGCAGGGGCGGAGAGAGAGCCAGAGCAGAAGGAACAGTGAGGAAGGGGCCGGAGGGTGGGCGATGGCCCTGGATTAAGAGCGCTGGCTGCTCCTGCAGAGGACTGGAGGTCGGATCTTTGTACTCACATCAGGCTGCTCACAACCACCTGCCACTCTGGTCCTAGGGCATCTGGTCCCCTCTTTTGACCTCTGCATCCACCCACACGCATGTGTATGTGCGTTCTCTCCTCTCTCTGTCAGCATATGTCCATTTGCCTTCCTCACACACATAAATAAAATCATTTTTTAAAAAAGGAGTCCACTGCACTCCCTGCTACGGCTGGCTGCTCAAGACAATATCTCAGATTCTTTCATAACTTGGAGTGATTGCTCATGCCTATCATCCAAGTACTCAGGAGGCTGTGAGTTCAAGACCAGCCTGGACGATGGGATGAGTTCCAGGACAGCCAGAGTTAGGTCTAGTTCAAGAAAAAAACTGAAACCAACAAGTGAACGAACAAACCGCCTTCCATGCTTGTGTGGGTGTGGAGGCAGGTCCCTGGAGCTGTGGGAGGGACAGCCCAAAAGAAACGCTGAGGGTGGAAGCCAGGCTGGCGAGGTCCAGGAGAAGTGGGTTGAGAATGCCTGCCGAAGTGAGTACTACAAGGACCTCAGTCAGAGGTCGGCTGAAGCTCTGAGCGCCAGGTGGGCACATGGGCCAGATCGTCAGCCTTGCCGCAGACTGACAGACACCAGAGCTGACTATTGCTCTGATAGACATATTTTCCAGATTAAAACGTACTTGGAACATACAGTCTGGGGACAAATGGGTATTTCAGGGCATATGGTTATCAGCTATTATCCCATCCCTGGAGGGTTGGGGCCCCATTTGGTACAGTGTATGGAGAAAGCAGAATTCAAGGTCATAATGTCAAGGTCATTTAAGGGTGGCTGCAGTAAGTTTTTTTCTTTTTTTGCTATCGCTTTGAAATGCAGGTATTTATACCTGTAGCATAATTTGCAAGACTCCTGCAGAAAATTATTAGCTAAAGGGAGAAAAATTCCCTGAAAAGATGAAGCTTTCTAAACATTTTAGATAATGTATAAGTCTTACCTAGCAAGACACTTCCATTAGCACAAAAAATAATGGCCTTTTCCTCCAAGATGCCTGTCACAGAGGAAAAATGTCGGCAGTCAAATGATTTATTCCCTCTGCGTTGGAGTTTATTCATGGTGAGATTCACCTTGTGAACTGATAATTTTCTGGGCAAAGAAAAAGCAGTGGGTGTTTTTCTTTTAAGGAAATGTCTATTTTTTTATTTTTTACAGTGGGTTCCTTTAGGCTTAGAAAATCGTCTAGGTCTATGGCTTTGATATCAAGGGAAAGACTTCTTCCAATTGCTCTAACCTTTTTTTAAAAAGTGACCTGTAGGGATAAATGTCCTCATGCTGAGATTTGAGGTTCTCTGCAGCGTCTAAAGTAATGCAGGCAGCACAGGAAGCAGATAGGGATTTGAACTAGTTTAGGAAAAATTTAACTTCCTGGACTGAAGAAAGGATTTTTTTCTTTTTTTGTGGGGGCCGAGGGTGTGGTGGAGAGAGGGGAGGTTAGGTTTAGTACCACACTCAAGTCTGTCATGTATTTATATATTTATATTTATTCATTTGTGTTTTTCTTTTCCTCACCCAGGCCCAGTGTCTCAGGCCTGTAACATTAGGATGCTGAAGTGTGTGTGTGGGGTGTGACATATTCTAAGCCAGCCTGGCTACAGAGTGAGTTCAAGACCCATCCCAGTTACTTAGTGAGACCTTGTATCAAAGTAAAAAGTGAAAAGAGCAATAGAGTACTTGCCTGGCAGTATGAGTCCCTAGGTTCATCCCCAGTGTTATCACACACACGCACACATATACACACACTCACACACACACAGTGATATTTCGTTTATGCTATAACAAATAAAGCTTGCCTGAAGATCAGAGTGCAGAGCTAGCCACACTAGTTAACCATAGAGGCCAGGCATGGTGTCACACACCTTTAATCCCAGCACTTGGGAGACAGAGGCAGATGGATCTCTGTTAGTTCAAGACCACCCTGGGCTAAAGAAAATCAAGTCTAAAAGAGAAACAGAGCTCACACAAAGGTGATCCTAGCACTTGGGATCACATGTCTTTAATCCCAGCACTAGGAGAAGACAGGAGTGATATGGCTGGTAGAAAGAGGAATATAAGGCGGGAGGAGACAGGAGCTCTGTGCAGTCTGAGTAGCAGTCAGTCTGAGATATAGTCTGAGGATTCATAGGGGCTGGATCACCCCTTTGGTCTGAGCATTGATAGAGGTAAGAACTCTAGTGGCTGGCTGCTCTGCTTCTCTCATCTTCAGCTTTTACTCTATAGTTGACTCCAAGTTCGTATTATTAAGAACAATTAGAATTCGCACCACACACACACACACACACACACACACACACACAGAGAGAGAGAGAGAGAGAGAGAGAGAGAGAGAGGAAGAGAGAGAGAGGCACACACACTTTTAAATACATATACAAATATATATGTATATATATATGTATACACACATACAAAATTCTCATGGCATGTTATAAAAACCATTTGAAGAACATTCTGACTGATTTTTTTCCTCTGTTGAACCCAAACTAAAACAAAAATAACACAGAGGTAAAATGTTTTGGGGACCAGCAAGGACAGGTAGGTGTGGACAGGTACAGGACCCAGTCTTGAGAGGCAGAGATCAGCATGTGGGGTGAGAGACATTAGAATAGAACTCACTTGTAATTCAAGTCTGGTGTCTGGCCGAGTCTTTGATAACTGTGCTACATGCCCTCTGCTCAGATAACAGGTGGTCTGGTCTGCCTTTTCCTGCTGGCCAGAGCTGCCTGGCACTGAGCAGAAACAGTTCTATTTCCCATGATCCCTTAGTCATACGGTTCTCATAGATGGTGACTGGGGTTTCTCCTATCACCATTCTTTAGTGACACACAGCCACTTAGTCATTTGGACCTGCATGACGTTTTCCTGAAACACTGTGTTCAAACACACATTTCTCACTATGATGATAACAGGTCAGGGCAGGCTCTTCACTATGGAAGGATCCCTCAGGAGACCCTAGTTAAGCAAACATCCCCCAAGTTCAGGGGTCCTGATCCCTTTCACTGTTCTCCTCAACTTGGGACCCAGAAACCTGCGCTTTGAGCCTCCACTCTGCTAATGGGGATGATAATTACTTTAGGGAACAGAAGAGACTTTTTTTTTTGAATTGGCCATTCAATACTTAGGGATAACTAGGGAGATATACCTTTTTATTTGAAAATTTTCCTGTTCCGTCCATCCCTTAGTTGAGGCAAGCATTTTTGCTGATGACTCCATTAAGGTGGCTGTCGCTGCCTTTCAGCTGAGTGATAACTAGGAAATGGAGGGAGCTTGCCCTGTATTTTCCCCTTAATGTGGGATGGACACAGTGAAAATGCTCTGGTGGGTCACACACATTTTTTCTCTTCCCCTCTCTGTCCCTCCCTTTGTCCCTCCCTCCCTCCTTGTCTTCTGTGGAGGAGTTGAGAAGCAACTAAAGACATTTAAGCCAGATAACGCCTGGTCTAGTCCCCTGACTCTGCTTCTGGGTATGTAACAGCAATGCTCACAGCATCTTTGGCCACACGTAAAGAAGTATTAATTTGCCACAAGCCCTAATGTGTTCATCAGCCTGAGTTGCAAGTTCAGTCACATCCCAGTTGCCTGTCTCTTGGGTGTCCCGACTGCCATTGAGCAGAAAGACCTGCAGAACAAAGGCCTGTGTTTCAAGACTGGCCAAGTTCCTGCTGTCTTTGTCCGAGTCCTACTTTACAAAGTACCATTCATCAACTATGAATATCTAAGTTATTTGAGGCAGGTCATTCATGGAAAATGCTGAAAGTAAAAGCAAAATCGAGGAGAACCTGGGGCTCTGAGGGCTGTTCTTACTTGTGGCCATTTTCTGCCTTTAAAAGCACTTGCTTGGCTTTTACTAGAGGCTGTAGAATAATCTAACAGAAAATGGAAGGTAAGGACAGTCATCCCTTTCAATATTTTATGCTGAATTTGGATATGCATTTTTCAAAGATAATTTCCTTGACATTTTCTGGAGGTATATTTCTTGGGGAATAAAATAAATGTATTTGGTTGGTGCTCATACCAATTTATTTAGAGCTATGAACAAGATAGAGATGGATCCTGTCATTTGTGCTAGAAAATATAAGGATCACAGGGATGCCCTTGGAGGACAGGTCAGAGGATTAATCATACTGTTCAGATGATACTGAGGTTGGTTGCAGTCTTAAGCCCTTTAGCCAATCCTGTTAAGAATGTGCTAGAGTCATCCTATGGCCAGAGCACTGGCCAGAGAGGAGATAGCAATGCTCCAGGCTACACAACTCATTAGGGGCAGTAAGACACAGAATTGGATTTTTAAAACTTTTGAATCCATGCAGGTCACACAACCTCTCCAGCTGGGCATGCGGATTATCTGCTGCTGGAATCATTCTGTGTGCTTCCCCGAGGCCAAGCGTGACCTGGAAGAGGTAAGACGTCCAGCCGTTCCAATTGTCAGCTGAGATATGTATGTGAAACTCCCAGGAGAAATAGGAAAGTGACATTTGTCCTGCTGCTTCTCAGCAATGAGTCTGCTCAGGTACCGAATCTACAGAATTGTTGCTGGCTGTCAGGGAGAGATGATGGAAATGGCTTCCGTGGGGTGGTGGCCGGGGGAAGGAAAGTGAAAGTACAGATAACTGACCAGAAGACTGAGTATAAGACCTTAGGCAAGCGAGGGCAGGCCTTGCCAAGGATGGTGGGCTCTCAGAAGAAAGGCCTCGAGGCCTGCATGGAATGGAGAAGGCTCGAGGGAGGCAAATGGGTGAAGGGGAACATAGGGGTGGGAAGGGTGATGTCACTCAGCAGAGAAAGGTTGTCCATGGCAACAGGAGGGAAGGGGCTAGGTGCAAAGAAGCATTTTCAAGATAAGAAAATAATTTCCCATTGACTGACAGCTGCATTAAAAAGTGTGCTATATACACAACAGAGTACCACTCAGCCTGAAGAAGCGAGTTTTACCATGTGACACATCATAGGTGAGCCAGGCCACTAGGCCAAGGGGCTAGTCTCATTGTGGCATCTATGATTGTCAAACTCTCAGAGAGACAGAGAGTAGAGGGGAGGTTGCCAGGGGCTTAGTGGGTGGGTGTAAGTTGGTCAAGTGGTATGGTGTTTTTCCTTATGAAGGTCTAAGATCCCAATGTTACTGTGGTTATCCTTACTGTGTGCTTTATGTTTATTAAGACCTTGGATCTTAATATCCCACCCCCACACATGAAACATTGTTACACTCTTGAGATGTACATCGTTTTATTTGTTGATTATATGTCTATAATGCTAGTAGGGGGGGCATTATTCCAGAGAGGAGAAAAGGAAGGAAGGATATGGGGGTGAGCTGCTAGGTGAATGGCCGTATGACTTGGGGCAGGGAGCAATGGGAGGGACGAGGACTGGAAAGGGGGTGTGGCTAAGCTGCACACTGCTCCCAGAGAGCTCAGGCTTGAAGGCAACGGGAGGTAGGAGGTGGCTTCTGAAGTAAATCAAATCAGATAGGAAACACCTCAGGGGAACACAGATTTTTAAAGAAGGCTTATAATAAACCCTTTCAGAAAAGGATCCATCAGATAAACGCAGTGCAACTTTTAAATTACTTTATCTCACTTTGTTTTTTGCACTTCTTCTTTTCCTGAATTAGGCAGAACTCGGTCGGCTCAGTTTGCTTTATCCCTCCGCTGAGACAGCTCTATCCTGCAAAACGTGAGATGCTGAGATGCAGGGAGAAGGGGGCGAGACAAACATTTAGTACAGAGTCAGGCAAAGCTGCCATGTCTTTGAGTTTTGTATTAGAACTGAAAGCTAACTTCTTTTTTCCCCCCCGACCTGGGCCGGTTCACCCTTCCTTAGGCAACCTGGTGGTCCCCTGTTCCCAGGAGGTCACCATATTGATGCGGAACTTAGTACAGAGACCCGATGGGCATAGCATACTACAGCCCAGAACTCCTGGACTCAAGCAATCCTCCTGTCTCAACCTCCCGAGTAGCTGACTACAGGCATCGGCCACTGCGCCCAGTGCTAACTTCTTTTTTTCTTATTTATAATTTTATGGTGGTATATCAGGGTCACAGCCATTTTAGAGGCTTGGGAGACTTTTTTCGGAGCTGAAGAATCGGCCGTGATCAACACGAGACCAGAATCACTAAAGTGAAACTTTTGCTTTACTGGGACAATTGACACAGGTCAGTTGGGGCTGAGGAATTAGTGGTGATTGAGAAGACACCAGCCTCACTGAGGTGAAATCTTCTGGTAAGTGTTTGCACAGAGTCACCCCAACAAGCTGTGTTGTGTTCCACAGGTGGCCAAAGTTGTACCTTCATTCTGGTAGCCCAAGTTGGTAGTGTAAGAGTCTCCAAGGTGGTACTGGTTTTGAAGGTATGAAGGGTGTAATCCAGGGTTCTTTAGAGAAACAGAACTTGTAGAATGAATGTCTCTGTTATAGAAAGGGGTTTAGTAGAATGTACTACAGGCTGTAGTCAAGCTAATCCAACAACGCCTGTTTATGAAGATCCAAGAATCCAGTAAGTGTTCAGTCCACAAGGCTGGATGTCTCAGCTGCTCTTCAGGATACACTGGAATCCCAAGGAAGTAGGCCAGTGAGTTGGTAGGGAGGCAAGCATAAGCAGACAAACAGCAAAACTTCCTTCTTTCATGTCCTTATATGGGCTCCAGCTGAAGGTGTGGCCCAGAGTAGAGGTGGGTCTTCCTACCTCCAAACATCTGGATTAAAGGTGTGTTTTCCCATCTCAAAGATCCAGATTAAAAGTGGGTCTTCCCACTTCAAATTAAGCAAAAATTCCTCACAGTGTGTGTTGCTGGTGTTTTTCTTGTCCTGTCAGGTCCCGCTGCTCCTCTCAGCCCCAAAGAAACACACTGAGACCAATATTAATTATAAAACTGATGGCTGACGACTAGGGCTTCTTATTGGCTAGCTCTGTCTTAATTATTAAACCATTTCTATAAATCCATGTATTTCCACATGGTCTTGGCTTACCAGAGAATGCCCGGACCTGTTACTCCTATGGCAGCTACATGTCATCTCTGTCTGGTCCCTCCCTGCCTACTTTTCTCAGAATTCCCCTTGTCTCCTAGCCCTGCCTATAATCCTACCTATATTGGCCACAGTGCTTTATTCATCAACCAATAAGAGAAACATATATACCGAAGGACATCCCTCATCGGGGGTGTCCCATTATTATTTTTTGTTTTTATTTTGTTAACTCCAGGTGTAGTCAAGTGGACAAGCAAGAGACATCATCAGGGAAGGGCCATGGAGAGCAGCTGAGGCTTGGCATTGTGAGAGGGCAGCATGGTTGCTGAAAGTGCAGCATGGTTGCAGCAGGAGACCCGAGCATTTTGGAGATGCCAGGATCGTGGGATGGCCACCAAGAACAGCAGCAGCTGTGGAGTGGAGCCTGGAAGATAAATTGTGTGTGCTGCAGAGGGCAGAGCCAGAGAAGTGACCCAAGCCCCTTGGAGGAACCCGGGAGATCATGAGTGAACCCCAGATCTTGGACACTGAATGATTTACACCACCGGAATTGGTTTTGCTTTGTTCAGATTGAGACTGTGCCCTGGCTCTTCCTTCTTGAAGTAAAACAATATTTAACCTAATTTTGATTTTTTAGGAGCCCACAGCTGAGAAACTTTGAACTTTTAAGAGATTGTGGAGTTTTAGAGACTGGATAGTTTTAAAAGAACTTATAATGTGGCTGAATTTATAAAGATTGTGGGGCTCTTAAAGTTTTACTTATGTTTGATATTATGGTATCAATATTAACATGCCATCTCTGGGGATAAGTGACAAATGAAAGGCTCTAAGTGAAAAGTGATGTTTCTGTGCCAAGATGACAAGGGGCCAATTGTGCTGGCTTGTGCTATATCAACTTGACATGACTAGAATCACTAGAGAGGAGGAAGCCTCAATTGAGAAAAGGCCTCCATAAGATCAGGCTGCAGGCAACCCTGTTGGGTATTTTCTTAGTTAGTGGTGGATGTGGAAGGACCCAGTCCATTGTGGGTGGGGCTAGTCCTGGTTTGGTGGTCCTGGGTTCTATAAGAAAGCAGGCTGAGCAAGACATGAGGAGCAATCCAGTAAGAAGCACTCCTCCGTGCCCTCTGTGTCAGCTCCTGCTTCTGGGCTCCTACCATGCTTGAGTTCCTTTCCTGACTTCTGTCAGTGATAGACTACATGTGGCAATGTACGCCAAATAGACCCTTTCCTCCCCAAGTTGCTTTGACCATGGTGTTAATCACAGCAATAGAAATCCTAGCTAAGGCAAATATATTAGCTTATTACTTTCTTTTGAGGACGATTCTGGGGACCAAACCCAGGAACTTGTGCCTGATGGGTAAGGGGCAGACAGAGGAGCTGCGCCCTCAGACCTTGGACTTTTGAGTCAGGGAGTCAATATGGTGCCCAGACAGATTGGTCTAGAATTCACTCTGTATCTAAGGCTAGCCTTAAATTCCCAACCCTCCTGCCTCCAGCTCTCAAAAGCGGGGTTTAGCAGTGTGCAATACCCTCTTCCAGCTTTAAGAAATGAAGTTTTGAGTTGCATAATTATCCTGTAGCAGAGACTTTGAACTTTGTCACTGGTCAAGTTGCTTGCAGGAGATCTGGCCATCCCAAGGAGCCTGTAGGAGTCTTGAGGAGAGTCGCCTGGGTCTGCTAGAATCAGCAGCCACCTTCCAATGCACCCAGGGATACACTCCCTTCCAACTTCAAGGCATTGCGCTGAGGTCATAACATCTGCAGCCTGAGCATCAATGACTGCACTGAGCCGGCAGAAGGCATTCCTCTTACAAAAAGGTAGGACCTTGTTGTAACTGATGCTGCAATTAAGGGTCCCATTAACCCTTGACTCGAAGACAGGTTGGAGTCTTCTGAGATGAGGCGACCGCCAAACAGCTGTCAGGGAAAATAAAGGTGCCAAATCTGCCGGTGGCTTCCAGGTGTCTGAAGGGACTCTGACTCTCTGAAAGGTAGCTTTGATGCACGACAGGCCTGCCAAGGCTGGTTATCTGCCTTGTATTTTGATCTGAGTTCTTGCTTTGTTTCCTGTGGTGAGTCTTTGTCTGTATCTGCCAAGAAGATTAGCTTGTTCATTAAGGTGTCACTGAGGTTTAAAAATGCCTCTTACTGTTCCTCGGGTAATTATTGCAGACAGGTTAGGGGAGTATTGTGAGCTCTCAGTAGAAGGAGATCGGAGAGGAATACCAAGGACAGGCATGCTTCACTTTTAACTAGCTGGGCTCCTGGGCCACTGGGTTATAGCCGCACAAACATCTGCAGTCAGCCTGCTCTCTCTTTTTTTTTTCCTTTTCCTTGCATAGGCTGCTGCTTGTTTCACTGATTTCTGGCCTGGATTCTCCCTGTGTCAGGTACTTCTTCCTAAGAGGCCCGAGAGGAACCTCATTTCATTTTTTGTTACTTTTCTTTTTGAGTGTGTTTCTGTGTGTGTGTGTGTATGTGTGTGTGTGTGTGTGTGTGTGTGTGTGTGTGTGTGTGTAGCTCAGTAGTAGCGTGTGTTCCTGGCATGCACTAGGGAAGTGGCTTGGGTCAGACCTACAACATCACAAAGGAAAAGAATCCCCATCACTTCAGCTACTCTGGGATACCATCTCCATTGTGTTGTCTCTTCTTTGCTCACTTCTTCTTGGAGGTAATGTCCCCCTCCTAAGATATACTGGGGCGTGAACATTGTGCTCACTAATGTTATGTTAACTTGACACAGGCTGTAGTCATCTGAGAGGAGGAGACCCCACCTGAGAAAATGCCTCCAGAAGATTGGGCTGTAGGCAAGCCTAAAGAGCACTTTCTTAGTGATTGGTTGGGGGGGGGCTTCAGTCCATTGTGGGTGAGACCATCCCTGGGCTGGTGGCCCAGGGTTCTATAAGAAAGCAGGCTGAGCAAGCCAGGGGAAACAAGACAGTAAGCAGCTCCCCTCCATGGGTTCTGCATCAGCTCCTGCCTCCAGGTTCCTGCCTTGAGTTCCCATCCTGACTTCCTCCAATGATAGACTATGTATTGACGTGGAGGCATCAGTCAAACAGACCCTTCTGAACTTGCTTTTGGTCATGGTGTTTTGTCACATCAATAGTAACCCTTGTTAGTATTTAGGCATTTTACTGGCCTGCATTTGGAGTTCTGATAAGATATGCCCTCAGCTGCTGCCACTAAGAGTACCACCTGTGCCTACTCAATGTGTTTCCTTTTAAAAGGGCCCTGCCTACCTCCCATCCTTCTCTCTTTCTTTCCCTCCCTCCGTGTGTCTGTCTGTTCCTTTCTCTCTTTCTCTGCTGCTCTTTTCTCTTTCCTGATGCTCCAGTCTCCAGAGGCTGGTCTCCCCCTTCCTCTTTCCCCCTTTTATGATCCTTTCCCCTTAATAAAAAACCCTTCTGCTTCAACTCTGTTGCATGACATTTTGTTTTGTTTTAATTACAACAACCCTAACTAAGACAAATGCCCACACCGCACAATGGGGGCCTTCAGACCCATGTCTGGGGAGTGTTGCTGATACTAGCCTTCGCTTGGATTCTCACTTTACATCATTTCCCAGATTATTCGCTTCTTTTTTCCTTTTCTTCCCCTTTACTCCCTCCTTCTCCCCCTCCTTCTCTCTCTTTATCTCCCAATTCCACACCCTGAATTCACAGTCTCATCGTGTACCCAGGCTGACCTCCAACCCTTGATCCTCAGTCTCAAGTATATAGACATGAACCAACATACTTAGATAATTTTCCTTAAGACTATTTAAAGAAATCAATAAGATAAGTAAAATGTAGACTGGCTTCCTTACTCTTCATTTTTAACTTTGGGACAACTTGGCAAGCTTTACATTAGTTTAACTTTCTTTAGACTGTCTTCCTTCAGTGAACCATCTGGAAGTCTCCCTCTTTGTATCCTTTTGGAAGCACATTATTGGATTGTAGGATATTCTTACAATGGAAAGCATGCCTCAGTGAAATGGGCTCATGAATGTACCTGTGTATCAATAGACAAGGGCATCCTTTATCCTTTCAGGTGGAATAATTATAAAGGTGTGACTGGAAACATTCACATGCAGGAGCTGGGGAACTCAGCTCTACACCTGTCACACTTTGCATTGCCTTCTTGCCCATGTCTATAAGATATTGTCTTAGATATGTCCAAAGAAGGGAAGAGATAGCTGAAGACTGGCCAGATAGGTCCAGTGACCAAGACTATTTATACTGAGCTGGTTGCCAGGGGATTTCTACCAGCATGCCGTGGAGTGTCAAGCTCCACAGTTAAAAATAGGGGCCTCCAGTGGACTGGATTATTGGCAGGGGTGAGGGTGGGGGTGGAAGTGGGGGGATGTCAAGAATTTGAAGGCATTAACCAGAATCTGGGAAGCCTATATGGTCTATTACAGAAGTGCATTTGGTATTTTCTAAAGGTCCTGACTTGAAAATAGGAGGGAAAAATGAATCTGTGAGTTATTAATCTAGACCTGGCCATCTTATACATCTATGAGTATAGTAGAATGCCATTAGGAGTCATTTTTCTGCTACGTTTACTGCAGAACAGCAGTATTTGGGTTTTCCCTAGGGTCTCTGGCCTGTCTCACATTCTTTTTTATTACACTTTTTATTATATATTTAAATTAGGAACAAGCTTGCTTCCCATGTTAGTTCCAGCTCTCCCTCCCCTCCATACCCACTCCCCCCACGAGTCCCCTCAGCCCCCCACCCAATACACACTCCATTCCCTAGGGAGGGTAAGGCCCTCCATGGGTGATCTCTAAAGTCTGTCATTTCGTTCCTGGGAGGGCCCAGACCCTCCCCAAAGTGTCCAGATTGAGAAAGCATCCTTTATTGTGGGATGGGTCCCCAAAGTCCATTTGTGTGCCAGGGACAAATACTGACCTACTACTCCAAAACCCCATAGATTGCCTGAGTCTTCTAACTGACACCCACATTCAGGGGGTCTGGATCAGTCCCATGCTGGCCTCTCAGCCATCAGTCTGGGGTCCAAGATCTCCCTCTTGTTCAGGTCAGCTGTTTCCCTGGGTTTCACCAGCCCAGTGTTGATCCCTTTGCTCATCACTCCTTCCTCTCTGTCACTGGGTTCCAGGAGTTCAGTTCAGTGTTTAGCTGTGGGTGTCTGACTCTGCTTCCATCTGTCACTGGATGGAGGTTCTAGGATGGTATGTAAGACAGTCATCAAAATCATTATTAGGGAGAGGCATTTAATGTAGTCTCTCCACTACTGCTTAGTTTGCCAGTTGGTGTCATCCTTGTAGATCTCTAGAGTTCTCACTAGTGCCAGATCTCCCCTCAAAGCCAGAATAGCTCCCTCTATTATGGTATCTCCTTTCCTGCTCTCCTCTTTTCTTCCCCCAACTCAACCTTCCTGCTCTCCCTGTCCTCTTCTTCCTTCCTCTTCTTCCCCTCTCTTTTTCCTGGCTCCGTTTCCCCTCCCTCACCCTGTGCTCCCAATGTGCTCAGGAGATCTTTCTTCATTCCACCTTCTCTGAGGTACCATGTATGTCTCTCTTAGGGTCCTTCCTGTTTCCCTGCCTCTCTGGCAGTGGGATTATAGATTGGCACTCCCCTGATTCATGTCTCAGAATCTTGTTCACCTGAACAGTGTTGGCAATGAGTTTCATTCCGTGGAGTGGGCTTTAATTCCAATTTGATGTTGTCTGGTTAAGTCCACAATCTTTGTATCACTATTGTACCAATATATTATACAGGTAGGTCACCATTGTAGTTCCAACGGTTTGTAGCTGGGTTGGTGTTTACCTTTCTTCTCTGGTAGCATATAGAGTACCTTCTAGTACCACAAACACTAGTCAATAGATA